AAAAAAAAAAAAAAAAAAAAAAAAAAAAAAAAAAAAAAAAAGAACTAAACAAAACAAAGATAGACAATCTACCAGATAAAGAGTTCAAAATAATGGTCATAAAGATACTAACCGAATTCAGGAGAAGAATGGAGGACCACTGTGAGACCTTCAACGAAGAGATAAAGAAAATAAAAAAGAACCAATCAGAGATAAAGAATACAATGACTGAAATGAAAAATCCACTAGAGGGAATCAGTAGCAGATTAGATGAAGCAGAAGAATGGATCAGTGACCTGGAAGAAAGAGTGGTAGAAATCACCCCACTGTAACAGCAAAAGGAAAAAAAAACTGAGGATAGCTTACCTCTGGGGACAACATCAAGCATACTAACATTTGCATTATGAGGACTCCAGAAGGAGGAGAGAAAAAGAAACAGAAAACTTATTTGAAGAAAAAATGACTGAAAACTTGACTAACCTGGAGAAGTCATCCAATTTCAGGAAACAGAGAGTCCCAAACAAGATGAACCCAAAGAAACCCACACCAAGACACATTATAATTAAAATGTCAAAAGTTAAAGATAGAGAGAGAATATTTAAAGCAGCAAGAGAAAAACAACTAGTTACATATAGGGGAGCCTGCATAAGACCATCAGCTGGCTTTTCAGCAGAAACTTGACAGGCCAGAAGGGAATGGCATGAGATGTTCAAAATGCTGAAAGGAAAAAATTTACAACCAAGACTACTCTATCTGTCAAGATTATCATTCAGAATTAAAGGAGAAATAAAGTTTCCCAGAGAAGCAGAAACTAAAAGAGTTTATCATTACTAAACTGACCTTACAATAAACATTCAAGGGACTTCTTTAAACATAAGAAAAGGCCATAACTAGAAATATGAAAATTATGGAAGAAAAAAAATCTCAATGTAAAGGCAAACATATAGTAAAGGTAGTGAATCAACCACCTATGTACATAGTATGAAGATTTAAAAAGTAGTAAGATCATATAATCTATAATTATTAAAGAATATACAAAATTTTTAAAAAGTAAAGTATGTCAAAAACATAAAAGGTGAGGGGGGGGAGTAAAAATGTAGTACTTTTAGAATGCACTCAAACTTAGGCAACCATCAACTTAAAATAGACTGCTATATACATAAGTTGTTATGTAACAGCCTTATGATAACCACAAACCAAAACCCAATAATAGATATACATACGAGGGCTTCCCTGGTGGCGCAGCGGCTGAGAGTCCGCCTGCCGATGCAGGGGACGCGGGTTCGTGCCCCGGTCCGGGAAGATCCCACATGCCACGGAGCAGCTGGGCCCATGGGCCATGGCCACTGAGCCTACGCGTCCGGAGCCTGTGCTCCGCAACGGGAGAGGCCACAACAGTGAGAGGCCCGTGTACCGCAAAAAAAAAAAAAAATAGATATACACATGAAAAATAAAAAAGAATACAAACATAACACTAAAAAGCCATTAAATCGCAAGGGAATAGAGCAAGAGAAAAAGAAACAGACAAGAACAATATAACCAACCAGAAAACAATGAACAAAATGGTAATAAGTATGTACCTATCAGTAATTACTTTACATGTAAATAGACTAAATGCTGCAATCTAAAGACACAGGGTGGCTGACTGGATACCAAAATAAGATCCATATATATGCTGCCTACCAGAGACTCACTTCAGATCTAAAGAAAACACACAGACTGAAAGCAAGGGGGATAGAAAAAGATATTCCATGCAAATGGAAATGAAAAGACAGCTGGGGTGGCAATACTCATATCAGACGAAACAGACTTTAAAACAAAGAGACAAAGAAGGACACTGCATAATGATAAAGGGATCAGTCCAACAATAAGAAGAAACACTTGTATATATGTATGCATCCTACACAGCAGCACCTAAATATATAAAGCAAATATTAAGAGACATAAAAGGAGAAAGTGACAGTAACACACTAACAGTAGGGGACTTTAACACTCCACTTACATCAATGAACAGATCATCCAAACACAAAATAAATAAGGAAACATTGGCCTTAAATGACACATTTGACCAGATGGACTTAATAAATAGTACATTCCACCCCAAAATAGTATAACATTCTTTTCAAGTACACATGGAACATTCTCCAGGATAGATCACATGTTAGGCTACAAAACAAATCTCAATAAGTTTAAGAAAACTGAAATCATATTAAGCACCTTTCCTAACCACAAGGGTACCAGGCTAGAAATCAATTAAAAGAAAACCACTGGCAAAAACAAATATGTGGAGTCTAAATAACATGCTACTAAACAACCAATGGATCACTGAAGAAATCAAAGAGGAAATCAAAACATACTTTGAGACAAAATCTATGGGATGCAGCAAAAACAGTTCTAAGAGAGAAATTTATAGCAATATTGGTCTACCTTAGGAAACAAGAAAAATCTCAAATAATCTAACCTTACACCTAAAGGAACTAGAAAAAGAACAACCAAAACCCAAAATTAGCAGAAGGAAGGAAATGATAAAGATCAAAATGAAAATAAATGAAACAGAGACTAAAAAACAATAGAAAAGAGCCTGTCCTTTGAAAAGATGAACAAAATTGACAAACCTTTAGCCAGATTCATCAAGAAAAAAAAAGAGAGGGCCCAAATAAATAAAATGAAAAATGAAACAGAAGTTACAATTGACACCACAGAAATACAACAGATCGTAAGAGATTACTATGAACAACTATACGCCAACAGACTGGACAACCGAGAGGAAATGGATAAATTCCTAGAAACATACTATCTTTCAAGACTAAATCAGGCGAGAAACAGAAAACATGAACAGACCAATTACCAATAATGAAACTGAATCAGTAATCATAAAACTCCCAACAAACAAAAGTCTGGAACCAGATGGCTTTACAGATGAATTCTACCAAACATTTAAAGAAGAGTTAATATCTATCTCTCTCAAGCTATTCCAAAACATAGAAGAGAAAGGAACTCTTCCAAACTCATTCTACAAGGCCAGCATGATACCAAAACCAGACAAAGACACCAAAGAAATAAAATTACAGGCCAATATCGCTGATAAACACAAATGCAAAAATCCTCAACAAGATATCAGCAAACTGAATTCAACAATACATTAAAAGGATCGTATACCATGAGCAAGTGGGATTTATCCCAGGGATGCAAGGATGGATCAATATTCACAAATCAACATGATATACCACATTAAGAAAATGAAGGATACAAAGCACAAGATCATCTCAATAGATGCAGAAAAAGCTTTTGAAAAAATTCAACATCCATTTCTGATAAAAACTCTCAACAAAGTGGCTACAGAGGGAATATACCGCAACATAATAAATGTCATGTATGACAAACTCACAGCTAACATCATACTCAATGGTGAAAAGCTGAAACTATTTCCTCTAAGATTGGGAATAAGACAAGGATGCCCACTCTTGCCACTTTCATTTAACATGGTATTAGAAGTCCTAGCCATGGCAATCAGATAAGAAGAGGAAATTTTAAAAATCCAAACTGGAAAGGATGAAGTAAAACCACCACCATCTTCAGATGACATGATACTGTATACAGAATATTCTAAAGACACTACCAAAGAACGATCAGAATAAATAAATTCAGTAAGTACATTTTACAGGATACAAAACATGCAGAAATCTTTTGCATTTCTATACACTCATGACCATCTATCAGAAAGAGAAATTAAGAAAACAATTCCATTTACAATTGCATCAAAAATAATAAAATACCTAGGAATAAATTTAACCAAAGAGGTGAAAGACCTGTACTCTAAAAACTGTAAGACACTGATGAAAGAAATCAAAGACAACACAAATAAATGGAAAGATACACCATGCTCATGGATTGAAAGAATTAATAGTGTTAAAATGTCCATCCCAAAATAACTTACAGATTCAATGCAATGCTATCAAAATACCAGTGGCATTTTTCACAAAAATAGAGCAGATACTCCTAAAATTTATAGGGAACCACAAAAGACCCCAAATAGCCAAAGCTATCTTGAGTAAGAAGAACAAAGCTGGAGGTTCACACTCCCTGACTTCAAACTACAGTTGACCCTTAAACAACACAAGTTTGAACAACGTGGATCCACTTATACATGGATATTTTTTCAATAATTAGATACTATGGTACTATACAATCACGGCTGTTTGAATCTGCAGATGTGAAACTGTGGATAAGGAGGGCTGACTGTAAAATTATATGTGGATTTTGGACTGTGAGTAGGGTTGGTGGCCCAACCTACGTATTGTTTAAGGGTCAACTGCATACCACAAAGCCATAGTAATCAAAACAGTATGACAGTGGCACAAACACACAGATCAATGGAACAGAATAGCTTGCCCAGACATAAACCCATGCTTATATGGCCAATTAACGTATGACAAAGGAAGCAAGAATATACAATGGGGAAAGGACAGACTCTTCAGTAAATGGGGTTGGGAAAAGTGGACAGCTACATGGAAAAGAATGAAACTGGACCACTTTTTTCACATCATATACAAAATTAAACTCAAAATGGATTAAAGACTTAAACGTTAAGAACTGAAACCATAAAAGTCCTAGAAGAAAACACAGGCAGAAAACTTTGACATCGGTTTTAATAATATTTTTTTGGATCTGTCTCCTCAGGTAAAGACAACCAAAGCAAAAATAAACAAATGGGACCACATCAAACTAAGAAGATTTTGCATAGCAAAGGAAACCCTTAACAAAATGAAAAGGCAACCTACTGAATGGGAGAGGATATTTGCAAATTATATATCTGGAAAGGGGTTAATATCCAAAATGTATAAAGAACTCAGAGAACTCAATATCCAAAAAACAAACAAAAAATGCAATTAAAAAATGGGCAGAGGATCTGAATAGCCATTCCCAAAGGGACATACAGATTGCCAACAGAAACACGGAAAGGTGCTCCACATCACTAATCATCAGGGAAATGCAAGTCAAAACCACAATGAGATAACGCCTCACACTTGTCAGAATGACTATCATGTAAGGGACAAGAGATACCAAGTGTTGGCAACGATGTGTAAAAAGGGGAACACTCACGCACTGTTGGTGGGAATGTAAACTGGTGCAGCCATTCTGAAAAAACAGTATGGAGCTTCCTCAAAAATTAAACATAGAACTACCATATGATCCAGCAATTCCACTTACTGGTATTTTTTACCCGAAGAAAACAAAAACACTAATTCAAAAAGATATTTATACACCCCTATGTCCACTGCAGCATTATTGATAATAGCCAAAATATGGAAGTGTCCATCAACAGAATGGTTTAATTCACTCAGCTATAAAAAAGAATGAAATCTTGCCATTTGTGACAACATAAAGGGTGTTATGCTAAGTAAAATAAGTCAGTGAGAAAAAGAAAAATACCATCTGATTTCACCTATATGTAGAATATAAAAAATAAAACAAATGAACATACAAAACAGAAATAGACTCACAGCTACAGAGAACAAATTGGTGGTTGCCAGAGGGAAGAGGGGTGGGGGATGGGCAAAACAGGTGAAGGGGATTAAGAGGAACGAACTTCCAGTTATAAGATAAGGCACAGGAGGTAACATACAGCATAAGGAATATGGCCAATAATACTGGAGTAACTCTGTACGGAGACAGACAGTTACTAGACTTATCATGGTGATCATTTCATAATGTATTTAAATGTCAAGTCTCTATGTTGCACACCTGAAACTAACATAATATTGTACATCAACTATGCTTCAATTTAAAAAAAAGAATGAAAGAAAGAAAACTTAAAAACTCCCACCACACACCTGGTTCTGTCTCCTGCTTTTGTGAAGGTGGGAAGAACCTCAGATATGTCATCTTGGTACTGTACTTCAGAGTCCTGGTCCGTCTCATCACATGGGCAAAGGAAAGCTTCAAGTGCTCAGTAACATTCTTTAGTTGAAAGTATTTGGTATTGAAGAAAAGGAGGGTGTTCAAGAGGACGATTGGTGAGTAAGCGCCCAGCTGTTTGCACTCCCACAAATGCTCTTCTTCAATGCGAGAGAACATGTAACCTGAACAGAAGAAAGGGGAAAAAGAAACAGTACTAAGCTCCTGCTAAATGGGACTAAGTAATTTCTCTAATCCTCAGACAGGAAGATACTAAGGAAAAGGCTGTTGCCCTCTTTCTCCCTCTCCCTCATACAGAACAACAAGCACTGCAAAGAAAAGGGCAGATGATGCCCCTGAGGCAGACGTTGTGAGCACTCCCCTGAGACAGTTTTAATCTATTGTTACTTTAGACCAGGGGCTGGTAAAATTTTTCTGTGAAGAGCCAGATGGTAAACATATTAAGCACTGTGGGCCATGAGGGCTTTGAAAACAACTTTGTTGTTGTAAAAGATAAGGAAGTGTAGACAATACATAAACAAATAGGTGTGGCTATTTGTAAAATTTATTTATAGAAACAAATTTGAATTTCATTCAATTTTCACAGGCCACAAAATATTTTTCTTTAATTTTTTCCCCAACTATTTAGAAATGTAAAGAATATTTTTAGCTCATGTACTATACAGAAACAGGCAGCAGGCCTGATCTGGCCCATGAGCTGCAGTTTGCAGACTCCTGTTTGAGATCATTCTGTTTACTGTTAGCTGGTTCAGTTTTATTTGTCTAATATCTTTAGAGGACAGATAGAGCTCTCTCTCCCTCCTATCTCTTCTTATTTTAAATTTATATTAAGAGCGATTGCTTCACGATAACTTATCTGGATTTTTCTTGAAAAGCAGAGGTCAGAAAAAATAAAATGAGTATACTTTTAAATGGACCTTCCTCATGATACCCCTTAAACACAGGTCTTTCCTAACGTTCTCTCCCCAATCCCCTTTGTTGCTGCTTCTGCATTCTATTCCTGGAAGACTATCCATGAACACAGATTTATTACTTGCAAAAATCTATGTCTCTAGCCCCCTATTTGAATGCTAAATGCATCATGCCACCACACTGCTCATAATGCGTCAAAGGTGCCCTGTAGCCCAACAGAAAGGGCACACATTTCTGGGCATCACATTTAACCTCTCCATTCATAGCCAAGGAGCATGAGACCAGGAGTGAATTAGGGACTTATCCAAAGACATATGGCACAGACAATTCAAGGATGAAGACTTAACTCTCTTTAACAACCAGTTCAGGGTACTTTTTATAAACTACTGAAAAAGGTCCATTGCTAACAGAGTCTAAAAGTAGCATATGTGCCAGCTACTGATACCATGTACAACTTTACCAAAACTACCAGATCAAAAATGGTTTCTAAAAAGTAAATGTAACCTTCAGTTGTTTTTTATATTCAATAGTTAGTACCTATTCATGTACTGTATGGAAGGTATACTTTTACTAAAATAATTGATAATAAACCAAAGACTTTCTCCTCAAAAGTCCAAATATGTTATAAATCAAGACAAATATAAAATGAACAATTTATAAAAAGAGAATCACAAAACAAGCAATTTAAGAAGGTATATCATGAAAAGAATCAAAATATAATCATCCTACCATTAGGAAGTATTGTAGGTTCCCATATTTTCAAGAGTTTGGTAAGTTCAATCATAAATCTGGAATAGGGCTCAGTAAAAATGTTATCTATTCTACCATTTTCAAACAGGTACTACAAGAGAAAAAAATGGAAACATATATGTTGATACAAAAAAACCCACAAGTTTTTAAAAAGAATATTTTTAGGAATATAGTTTACCCTTAGTTTTTATCCTTACAATACTGTGAACCATTTTAAGGATACAGTTAAAACACCACAATTTAAGCTAAAGATGCTTTTCACATGAATTAGCATTATCTTGAGCACTGAGCTTGTAAGGTAAAGTTTTCTATTTCCTTTTAAAAACATGAATGGTATAAAATAATTATAAGTACCTTTTAGTTAGTTAATAAAACTGATATACAAAAAATTGGTCCTAATTCAAATTTCTCAAATCATTTTTCTAATTCTCAATGTCTGAGGTGCGCTCTTAGCAGTTTGTTTGTTTTTTAGCCTAGTTACAAGATGACTTCCTGCAAATAATATAGTTATCTAGTGTCAGATAACCTGAGGCTATCCAAAATTTAAAACTATTTATTTGGAGGCTTCTAACCACAGCTCTCAACTCTCTGCCTCACAAGCCAGCCTTCAAAAAGTTCAAGTCTAATTATACGACTTAAAAGTATGCTAATTATAACCATCAAGAATCATATCACAGGGCCTTCCCTGGTGGCACAGTGGTTAAGAATCCACCTGCCAATACAGGGGACATGGATTCAAGCCCTGGTCCAGGAAGATCCCACATGCCGCGAAGCAACTAAACCCGTGTGCCGCAAGTACTGAGCCTGTGAGTCACAACTACTGAGTCCATGTGCCTAAAGCCTGTGCTCTGCAACGAGAAGCCACTACAATGAGAAAGCCGCGCACTGCAATGAAGACTAGCCCCCACTTGCCACAACTAGAGAAAGCCCGTGCGCAGCAACAAAAAAAAAGACCCAATGCAGCCCCCCCAAAAAAAAGAATCACATCACAGAATGGGAAACACGCAACAGCTTGAGTAAATTACTGTTAAATATTTTGACGGTGCAGGTCAGGTCAGAGTCAAGCACTTCAGAGAAATACAATGAATAGAACAAGAGAATAACACAAAGTAGCATAATTATATGCTAAAAATCTTTCAGTGTTGTTTTTTTTTTTTTTTTTTTCGTGATACGCGGCTTCTCACTGTTGTGGCCTCTCCCGTTGCGGAGCACAGGCTCCGGACACGCAGGCTCAGCGGCCATGGCTCACGGGCCCAGCTGCTCCACGGCATGTGGGATCTTCCCGGACCAGGGCACGAACCTGTGTCCCCTACATCGGCAGGCGGACTCTCAACCACTGCGCCACCAGGGAAGCCCCTAGTGTTTTTAAGATCTGGTATTTTAAACTTATTTATCTATGGTTATCTTGGTTTCCTGCTTTTTGATCTATGTATGACTTGCAGTAAATTTTTATTTCCACTTAAATTTATTCCGGCTAATAAAAATTACACACCATTTCAACGTGCATTTTTATAGGCCTCTTCAAAGGCAATTTATGATTGTATTGCCAGATTACAGTTTTGTTGTTGAAAAGTATTCTTCATTTTCTTCTTTATTTTAATAAAGTTATTTTCACAACTTAAAAATATTATATCCTCATTATGGAAAGAGTTTAAAATACAGAAAAGGTGGAAGAAAGATATACTCAAACTCACTACACAAAGGCAACTACTGGTAACAGTCAGGAGTTATTTCAATCTTAAAAAACATTTTCTTTATGAATACACAGAATTGAGTTTTGTACATTTACTCAAATATGAGTACCTATAAAATACATGGGTTTAAAAAAAAAATCACTTCCCCCTTAGATCAGAAACAAGATAAAAATGCCACTTCTACTGAACATTGTACAGGAAATTCTAGCCAGAGTAATCAGGTGAGAAAGAGAAATAAAAAGTGTTGAAATAGGAAAGGAAGAAGTAAAACCATCTCTATATGCAGTGACATGAACCTATATATAGAAAATTCTAAAGTGTCTACAAAAAAACTAGTTATTAGAGCTAGTAAATGAACTTAGTAAAGCTGCATAGTATAAGCAACACAAAATCAGTTGTAATAAACAATCCAAGGAGAAAATTAAGAAAATTCCATTTACGACAGCATCAGATAGAATAAAATACTTAAGAATACATTTAACAAAAGAGGTATGTGATTTACACACTTAAAACTACATAAAACTGCTGAAATTAAAGAACACCTAGGAAAAACATCTTGTACTCATGAATCTAAAGACAAAATTGTTAAAACAGCAATATTCCCCAAAGCAATCTACAGATTCAATACAATCCTATCAAAATCCCAACGGTTTAGTTTTTGAAGAAATGGAAAAGTTGATCCTAAAAATTGATATGAAATTGCAAGGAACCTCGAATAGCCAAAAGAATCTTGAGGAATCACACTTCCCAATTTCAAAACTTACTACAAACCTACAGTAATCAAAATAGTGAGTACTACCATAAGAATAGCCATAAACCAATGTATTAAAAACTGAGAGTCCAAAATAAACACATGCATATTTAGTCAAACGATTTTTGACAAGGATGTCTCCTGTCACCTATGTCAAATCACCTATGTCACTTCTTTTGTGAACTATTTATGCCTTTTTTGTGCATTTACCAATAAAATGCACCGACCTCAATTTCTCTTATTCTAACAGTCTCAGTTTAACTTATAAAAGGCTTATATGACCAAGACTTTTAAATCAGGGTCAGTAGTTCATTAAGAAGAGAGTATACGAGCAATACCAAACAAACAATATACACTATAAGTTTTCAGCTTAATTCACAAGTTCTATCAGAATTATTAAAAATGCAATAGATTTTGTAACAATTATTGAATTTCATACCTGCTGAATTCCAAGGCACAAGTATAAGATACTGTCTGGATCATACTTTTCACCATTTGGTCTCCGCACTTCTTGAATAAACTGGCATAAGCCTAAACTCAACTCAGCAAAAGTGCAGGACAGAATATCTTCCTTCAGCTTGACAGAGCGGACTGTGGAAAGGTAGAAAACATCTGAAATACTAACTTATAGAAAAATAATAACATTACTCAATTCACTGAATAAACACTGACTACACTGCCCCAGGTATTGTGGTGTACACTGGTGAATACATGGATTAAAGACAGATCCTGATCTCAAGGCTTTTTTAGGTAAAGAAATAAAGACAGTGAAGCACATATGATGTAATAGGGTGCTATGACAGGGGTTTTATCTAAATAAAATTCTATGAAAAAAAATAAGGGCCATCTAATAGACAGGGAAGGGTCATGTTAGATTCTGGGAGATGTGAAAGGTGGAGAAGAATTAAACAAGTGGAGAAAGAATTCCAATTTGAGGATATAAAAAGATTTCCCGAAGTATACTCCACAAAATACTAATCATGTGAGAGCTCAAGAAAACTGGGTTTCTAAGATCTGATAAATTTGGAAAACAGCAGTATGTTATACCTGCCTCTAAAGAATTCACAATGTTTTTTAACATATTAAAGGCTCTGGAGATATCTGCAAAAAAGAATGCTGTTTAACTTTCTTTAAAGTCATATTTATTTGAATAAGGAACACTTTAAGTAACATATAACTTCATGCCTTTGAAAATGCCAGAAAATATAGTATGTGCTCAACCACAAAAGTGAAAAGGTTCAGGGGACTCAGGTGAACAGCAGAAAAGAAAAGAGGGCAGATGCGGGCAGATCATGGTAAGCCTCATATATTACATTAAGAGTCTGAAGACAACTAAGAACTGAATTAGTTTTAGGCAGGAGAGTTATCTAATTTGACTTGTAGAGATCTTACTGCAACAGACTGGTCCACACTGTGGGATGAGTTGAAACACTCTTTCTAGTTACTGCTTTTCTGCATTTAGAAAACACTGCATGTTTCCAAAGATACACTTGAGCTCCCCTGAGTTGGTTTTGCAAATTGAAATAGGTGATTCATGAGGGCAAGGACCATGTCTGATCTTTTCACCTGAGTGCCTACAACCATGCCTTATACATGACAGGTGTATTCAGTAAGTATTTTTTTTGGATGAATGAGTAGCGGAAATGAGTAGGCATCCCCTGTGGCTACTGCATTTAGGCTTGGTGGTCTAATACAATATTACTTCTCCATTTTCACTACCCCTCCTTTTTTCTTTCTTTTTAAATTTTTATTTTTTTAAATTGAAGTACAGTTGACTTACATATCCACTGTTTCGTTTGTTTATTTTTTGGCCACGCTGTGCGGCATGCAGGATCTTAGTTCCCCAATAGGGGACTGAACCTGTGCCCCCTGCTTTGGGAGAACAGAGTCTTAACTACTGGACCACCAGGGAAGTCCCTACCCTTCCTTCTTTCTTAAAAACTCAAACTGTAAGGTGAAAGGCCTAGTAAACCCCCATAACAGGAGTATATTTATATCACTCTGGAGCAGAGAGATTATACTTGATCTGTGGGAACTCCATGAGTCAGTCACAGACCACAGCAGCAACTAACTGCTCCAATAATGAGGGTAGACTGAGGCAAAGCCAAGAGTGCATGCAATCACCCAGGTATCAGAGAGAAGGTATAGTTGGAAAGGGACAAAAAAATCTAGTTACAAGGACATATTCATTCCTGCCCCATCTCATCCCACAAAGATTGTATAAGTATCTTATATAAAACACAGATAATAAAAAAGCAAAATACAAACTGAAAACAAAGTTTAGAATAGAACAACCAGGGAAAAAAGAAAGCTAATGATCAGGGTTCTAAAATTATACAGTGTTGCTCTATTTGAACTGTTTATTGGGTTCCAAAGATCTTGGCACCAAAAATGAAACCTGCAATCATGGTCAATCATATACAGCTCCTTGATAGGAAAAATTCCTACAGTAACAGCAAGGCTTTTCCAGGTATTCTTCTTAACAACAACAACAAAAAGTGTTACACTGGGTTCCACACTGATTATTCTACAAATATAGGGCTCAAGAAAACAGATTTGAGTTACTTGCATAGTGTTAGAAAAAGAAACAGAATTCCTTATATTTGCACAAGAAACTCATGATCAGAAGATACAACCTTACCTTTATAACAAGCTCTTTAAAATTGGGAGAGGATATTAATTTCTCTTTTTAAACATAAACTTCAAATTTTAAATAATTTTAAATATTCCATTTACAAATTTAAAATCAACAATGATATTACAAGCAATTCAGATCACAAGGAGAGAAATTTTACCTCTACAGCCTGGCTCTGAAGATTCTTGAGAGAGTGCATGGTCTTGAGCACTTCCTAAAGGGTCAGAACACGGGCTAGATGAGGCATGTTCAACTCCTGACAAAGAAAGAAAAATTAATGAGAATAAATAAAGATGGGGAAAAAAATTAAGTAAAGCCAAAATCAAAGTTTTATGGGATTTCTGACCTACTATTTATCCCTTTTGAGTAGACTTATGACTTTATCTGTATTCCTCCCACCCCCTAAATCGAGACACAAATTCATGCCGTGTATTTACCACATTTCAGATCCCCCTGCTCTTCCTTGGCATTTTTCCACTGAACCCAGTTCTTCCAGGCATTTACCCCATACATGTATTTCAGTGTCATCCCAGACACTGAGCACCCTTGAAAGGCTCCTTGAATAAGACTCCTGGGCTCCACAGACACTACAGACTTCTTCCGTCCCTGTAAGAATTCCAAAAATTTACAGAATATAAAATTTAGTTTCAGAGCTTTAAGAATCGGGATTCTCAAAGACAGAATGGGCATAAATTTACAGAAAATGCAATTTAGTATTAGATCCCAAAGATTCAGCGTTCTTAGAGCTAGAAAGAGCTTAGTCATCTAATCCAATCCATATGAGAAAAGAAAAAAAGAGAAAATTGAAGTGTAGAAGGTAATATTTTAATAATCACTAACATTTGGGTATTTACTATGTTCCGGATGCTGGATCCACCCAATGAGGTATGAATAACAGTTATTACCACTCAGGTCTATTTAATGGAACATACGAATAGATGGCTCTAAAAGAAGCCTCAATAAATTCTCTAACTACAATGGAATTCAGCTAGAAATCAGTAATGAAACAGTGTTAGAAAAATCCTGAAAACTCAGAAATTAAACAACACATGTTAAGAAACCACAAATGCGATTAGAGAATATTTTGAACTTAAGTAAAAATGAAAACAAAACGTATCAAACTTTATGTAATAGTGCTAAAGCAGTGCTTATAAGGGCATTTACAGTATTAAAATGCTTCTATGAGAAGTGAAAGAAGTCTAAAATCAATAATCTAGCCTCTGTGTTAAGAAACTAGAAAAAAGACTTCATTAAAACCCAAAGTAAGGAAATAATAAAAAGAAGAGCAAAAATCAATAAAAAGAAAAGATAAAGGAAAAATCAATAAAATGAAGAGCTGGCACTTTTAGAAGGTTAAAAAAACATGACAAATCTCTAGCTAGAATGATCAGGGATAAAAGAAAAAAGACACAAATTATCAACACCTGACCCCACACATATAAAAATAATAATAAAACTGTGAATGTCATTATGACAATAAACTAGACAGCTTAGATAAATTGAACAAATTTCTTGAAAGACACAAACTAACAAAGCTTGCTCTAGAAGAAACAGATAACCTAAGTAGCTAGAGAAATTCAATTCATATTTTAAAACCTTCCCATAAAAAAAAAATCCAGACCCAGATGGCTTCACTGTTGAAGTCTACCCAAGAATTAAGTAATTATATAAACTGTATTTCAGAAAATAGAAGAGGAGGAACACTAACTCACTTACGTTACTATTATCCTGACAGCAAGGCCAGATAAAGTCATCACAAGAAAACAGATCAATAGCTCTTTTAAACTGAGACACTTAAAACCTTAACAAATATTAGCAAACTGAATCCAGCAACGTACAGAAGAATAAAAACATCAAAAGAAAGTAGTGCTCGTCCCATAAATGCAAGGTTAGTTTATAATTTAAAAAATTAATGTATTTCACCACTTTAAAAGACTCAGAAAAGAAAAACCAGATGATCATCTCAAGAGATCACCTGACAAAGTTCAAAACACAATCAAAAACACTCTGAGCAATTAGAAATAGAAGGGAACTTCCTGAAATTGATAGAGGTCATCTATGAGAAACATATAGGTAACATCATACTCAATATTGTAAGGCTGAACACTTCCCTAAAATTGGGAAGAGGCATGAAGGTCTGCACTCATTACTTATTAAACATTGTACTAAAGATCCTTGTTAATGCAGTAAATCAAAAAAAGAAAGAAAATGCACTAAGATTGTAAAGGAAAAAGTGAAACTGCCTTTATTTACAGATAATATGATTGTGTAGGTAGAAAATCCTAAGGATTTCAGTTGAGCAAAATCACCGTATATAAAATCAATATACAAAACCATCTCTATTTCTATGTCAATGAAGAACACTAGAAAAGGAAATTTAAAAATAACGCTATTCACAACAGGATCAAAAATATATTAAAATACTTATTAGATAAGTTTGACAAAGTATAAGACTTGTAAAATGAAAAATACAAAACACTGTTGGGAGATAATCTGAATAAAGGTGAAAGATACCATCTTTATGGACTGGATGGCTCAAAGTTGCTAGGATGTCAATTCTCTGCAAATTGATCCATGGATTAAGAACAGCCCCAATCACAATTTCAGCAGACTTTTTTGTAGAAATTGACAAGCTGATTCTAAAATGTATATGGAAATTCAAATAAAACCTTTGAAAAAGATGAACAAAGATGGAAGACCTACACTCCTATTTCAAGACTCACTGTAAAGCTACATTAATCAAGTCAGTTGGTACTGGTATAAAAATAGACATGTATATCAATGGAACAGAATAGTTTCAGAAACAGACCAAGACATATATGGTCAGTTGACTTTAACAAAAGTGCCAATGTAACTGAAGGGGAAAAGACAGCGTTTACAAAAGTGGTACTGGAACAACTGTATATCCATACACACAAAAAAATGAAATGTGATGCCTTAACTTATACATAAAAATTATCTCAAAATGGATCACAGAAAACATAAAAGAAAACTATAAAACTAGGAGAAAACGTAAGAGAAAATCTTAATTACCATAGTTAAGCAAAGATTTTTAGATGGGATAATAAAAAGCACAAATTATAAAAGAATAAAAACTGATAAAGTGGACTTCTCAAAAGTAAAAAGTTCTGTCCTAGTGTGGGTGACCAAGACGGCAGAATAGGAAGACCCTGAGCTCCCCACCTCCCATGGGCACACCAAATTATTACTATGTACAGAGCAACTTGCCATAAAAATGACCTGAAGACTAGCAGAAAAGATCTTTTACAGCTGAAGATATAAAGAAGGAACTACAGGATGGGTAGAAAGGGGCAGAGACACGGTATAATCAAGACCCACACCACCAGGTTAGGTGACACACAAATGGGAAGATAATCACAATTGGAGATGTTCTCCCCAAGAAGTGAGAGGTCTGAGCCCCATATAGGGCTCCCCAGTCCACACCTCCTGCACTGGGAAGATAAACCTCCAGAACACTTGGTTTTGAAGGCCAGCGGGGCTTGTTTTCAGGAGAGCCAGAGGGCTGCAGGAAACAAGAGACTCCCACTCTCAAAGGGTACACACAAAATCTCACATGATCTGAGACCCAGGGCAAAAGCAGTAATTTGAAAGGAGACTGGGTCAGACCCACTTGATTTCAGAGAGCCTCCCAGAGAGTCAAGAGGAAACTGGGACTCACCCTGGGGACACAGATGCTGGCGGTAGCCATTTTGGGGAGCTCACTCTACAATGAGAACACTGCTGCTAGCAAGCACCATTTTGGACTCCTCCCACTAAGTTAAATGAGAACTGGAGCCAGCCTGCCCACCAGCCAGTTGCCAACAATCCTGGGACGCTTGAGGCCAAGAAGCTAGCCAGGTGGGGACACAGCCCCAAACACCAGCAAGTTTGCTGCCTTAGGCTCCCATGAGCCCCCAGCCACCCTGAACAAGGCTCTGCCCACCAGTGGGTAGGCACTAGTCCCAGGACCTCCTGGGCCCTGGCCTTGCCCACCAGCAGGCTGACACCAACTCTACAATCACCAGGGCCCCACAGCCAGAGATCCTCAGGAGCAGGCTCTTCCCACCAGTGGACCAACACTAGCCCCAGGATACCATGGGACCTAGACCAATACATCCACAAGCCAACACCAGCTTCAGGAACCAGGCCCCCCAGCCAGAGACCCTGGGACCCAGCTCTGTGCACCAATGGAACAGAACTAGTCCCAGGATACAGCCTCACCCACCACTGGTTGGCACCAGCCCTGGGATCCCATGAGCCCTGGCCCTGCCCACTAGAGAGCAGACACTAGCCCCTGGGTATACCGCAGCCCTGTAGTCACCTGTGTCAGGACCCAGCCTGTAACCCAGTGGGTCAAAACCAGGCCGAGAACACCCACCCTCCACCCAGTCCCACCCACCAGCAAGACAGCATTAGCCTGGGAACTCCTCAGGGCTCTGCAGCCAGCTGCCCCATGACCTGGCCCTGCCCACCAGGACCAGAACTCCCCAGGCTGCAGCCAACCACACCAGAGTCGGAGGCCTCTGCATTAGGCAGGGTCTGGCAATCAACCAGTCTTGGACTTTCTGGTCCCAGCACGCCCACAGTAGTCAGTCATGCTGACCATGCTTACCAGAACGCCCACAGTAGTCAGCTTGTCATAAGGGCCCATGCAGTGCATATACAGGGCACCCCTAGAGCATACAGCTCTGGTGACTAGAGGGGAGTCTGCTGCTCAGCCCCGTAGAATGTCTCTTACATAAGGTCACTTATCTAAGATTGGTAAACGGAACCAACCTATGAAATACATAGAAATAAAAACAAAGAACTGGGCAAAATAAGGCAACAGAGGAATATGTTCCAAAGGAAGCATTCTACCCAATAAGACTGCAAGGTAATGACTGTAAAGATGCTCAAAGAACTCAGGAGAAGGATGAACACAGTGAGAGGTTAGAAGTTTCTAACAAAGAGTTAGAAAATATAATGAACAAGCAAGCAGAGCCAAAAAATACAATAAGTGAAATAAAAGGAATTAACAGTAGGTTAGCTGATACAGAGGAACAGATCAGCAAACTGGAAGACAGTGTAGTCAAAATCACTCAAACTGAAGAGAAAAAAGAAAAAGAATTTTAAAAAATGAGGACAGTTCAAGAGAACTCTGAGACAACTTTAAGTGTACTAACATTTACATTGTAGAGGTCCTGGAAGAAGAGAGCACGGAAGGAGCAGAAGACGTATTTGAAGACATAATAGCTGAAAACGACCCTAATCTGGGAAAGGAACCAGACATCCAAGTCCAAGAAGTACAGAAAGTCCCAAACAGGCTCAATTCAAAGATTTCCGCTCAAAGACACATTATAATTAAAATAGCAAACATTAAGGATAAAGAGAGAATTTAAAAGCATCAAAGGAAAAGCAACTAGTTACGTTAAAGGAAAATCCCACAAGGCTATCAGCTGACTTTTCAGCAGAAATTCTGCAGGCCAGAAGGGACTGGCACCATGTATGTAAAGTGATGAAAGGGAAAAAACCTACAACGAAGAATACTATACCCAGCAAGCCTTTCATTCAGATTTGATAGAGAGATTAAGAGTTTTTTACAGACAAGCAAAGCTAAAATAATTCAG